ATTCCAAAGAATTAACGGTCGTAAAAGTAACGGAAAAAAAAAACTGAAATATTAAGAAAAGGATTTAGAATTAAAATTTGAAGAGAAGGCCTGTTATGACCATAGAAAAAAAGAAAACATAAGGACTAACAGACTGTTAGATGGCATACAGATAAAAGATACAAAATAAAGTTGAAAATTAAGGAGAATGTTTTTTATGAAATGAGAACATCTCAACTTATTTCCCTTTAGAGTGTCCATTTAGGCTTTCAAGTACAGTTTAGAATGATGATGAAACATGAAGACAACAGAGGAATGTCAAGAACAGAACATTTTTCCATTTACAGAAAATCAGATAACTGGAGAGAAATGAATAAAATATTTGGTAAGGAAGATGAATTGAAATGAACAATTAAACGATTTATGTTGTCAATCATTTTTAGGGTGCCAACGTTTAAGCTTCAATTTTGTATATTGGAATAGAATGAATTATGATGTTATGACTAAAAAAAAAAAAAAGAAAAAATAACTAACGTTCCATGGGATATGGAAAGCGGAAAAGTAACATCGAAAACAGTTTAGAGGGAATTCAGTTTTCTGAGGTGTTGTGCGGAAAAACAATAAATATTCGGATAGGTAAGCAAATAGATTCAGACGTCAGCCGTATAGTCGGGTATTAGTAACCGGAATGGAATGACTGCAAAGTTGTGTGGTTCATTCGTATTTTTATAAGAAAAAAGCAAATGCAAATCCTTTGTAATTGTTAAAATTTTGAAGTTTTTTACGAATAATTCTGAAATCTACTTGAAGTTCATATGGAATTCTTATGCCATTTCAAGTGGAAGAAGAACAAATATCAGCTGATACTGTCCATACCATATATATTTTAAAAACCAGTTAAAAGAGCGAAGAAATTCGATGAGTCATTCAACTGTACCAGATGGCAAATGCACAATTGAAAGTTTAAAAATAAACATCAAGATTTCATCTCTGGTCTATCTTCCCAACTCTCAGATAATCCCTGCATTAATCTACTATGAGAAGCTCAAGTTACCATAATTCTGCTAAGTTCTTTCCTTAATTAAATTTCCCACTGCTATGAACTAACTAACTTAAACCTGTCAACAAGCATATCATATGTTGTAAAACTGACTTTCAAGGCAAGTCTTTAAGATATATTAAAGAGAGAAAATTAAAATTCAGGTAGTTGTGAGAGTAAACTTAGGTAGATGTAGGACACAACAACACTACATGACTGAGAATACAACAATTATCCGGTTAATATGAAATTTACATAGCGATATCTGATTAGTAAAGAAAAAGCTCACAAGAGGATGTTGGAAGTGACAGTATGAGGAAATTCCCAACTAAAGGAGAACAATAAAGTTTTTGTATTCATAAACAATGTCAAGTCCAGTGGTCAGAAGGTGCAATGTGGAAAGACAAACAATGAGCATTTCCAGTACTGAGGATACTTTTACATCCGTAAATGTAAACATTCACATAGAAACATTGATACTAAAAGCTATGCAGAATAAATTATCGATTTTTTTTTTTTTTAGGAAATAGAGGAAATACTTGGACAAAGACGGTATATTTCAGTAGAGAAAAGACGACGTAGTTCGATCGATCAAAGCTATATGACATGAATCACAAGTATTTGGTGATAATGATCCGTTAAATATTCATATCAGTTCGATTTTCTCATCATGACAACACAGTTCGATTGATCAAAGCTATATGACATGAATCACAAGTGTTTGGTGATAATGATCCGTTAAATATTCATATCAGTTCGATTTTCTCATTGTTAACAGAATGTCACAACATATCATTTTTCTTCTTTCTAGTGAAAAACATCCAACTTTTATCAAAATTATGCCAATACACTGAACTAAAGAAGCTGATAGCACAATCGAAATGATTTTGGATTTTGCATAGAAAAAATGGAAGAGTTTCGCGAGAAATACGAAAAAAATCCTGTCATGCGGGATAGGATTTATCGATTGGAATACATTCCTTACAAACATTAGTTTAAAATAAAAGTTATTCGTTTCAAAAAATTTGAATAAGTATCCCAATTGCTGCAAGTGCGGAGTTACAGGAAGGGAAGATAGATGTATTACTTCATTGAAAAAGGAAGTGATAAATTTGAATTCCATCCAATTTTATCTTTATATTTCAAATTTGAGATAATCACATCTTAAGTGATACTAATCAGTTAATGGAAGATAGATAGAGCTCTCTTTACATATTGAAAATTTCTATTCGATGAAGTCAATGAAGATGAAGTGACACTTACGACCAACAAAAAATTCTTAATTGTTTCATTTTAAAATTCGAGTTTTCTTCTTGAAATTTTTATTAATCCTTGTAAATAGTTGTCATTACCTATTCTGAAATGTAATTTTAACCTCACATCATCATCACTTCACAAAATTTGAAGAACCTATTAAAAAACTCTCCCATTTATTTTTATTTTTTTTGTTTTAAATGAAATTGGATATATTATTAGCAGCATGAAGTGTAAGGATGGTTAAAAGTAAGAAAATACAGACATAAGTGATGTAAAGAGAGCAGATAAGATCAACAGAGGATTGATTGCTTTTGAAAAAATGAAAGTGATAAATGATAATTATCTCTCCTTTTTAAACAGTGTAGCTTTATATGCTACCACAACAAGTTGCCTTGTTATCAGTAAAGAAGTTTCTTTTCCTTCTTTGCTGGGAAGAAGAAGATTCCAGAAGTTATCCTCTTATCACTTCATGGACGTTTATCGTACGCTACGACAGTATTAAAAAGGAACAATTCCAATTATTTACGAAAAAGTATCACTAAGACAATAAGTATGATAAATAATCAATTTCAAAAATTTTTACTTAAAAGTTATTTCAATCAATCAATAAAGTTATGGAAAAGATGAACGAATCTGTAAAAGTTGGACTTTTGGAAGTATTAACTGTTTCGATGCCTAACTTCATCAAAGGGTGTTAAAATGAAATGCGCTTTTTGCGAGGAGGCTTAAACAATAAGAATTTCTCTCTTTGCATTTTAATAGCTGCAAAGTTTTCATAATGATGAAGAATTTTATGATTTAAATGTATTTAACTATAAAAAAGACATCAAAAAAATTTTTGATGAAAAAGCATCCGATAATGGAGCATTAAAAATTTAAATTTCAGTTTATTGAACAGATGGGGAAGAGAGGAATTTGTCTGACTATACTTTAAACGGATAAAGTAACAAAGCAAACGAGTAGAGTCGGCATTTCTTTCCTGCTGGGCGGTCTGAGTTGATCAGAAGGAGCTTATGGAATGAATGACCTTCACGGGGAAACAACGTACCGGAACATTGGAAAATTATTTTTTCTCATGAAAGCATAGATGCTTTGCAGTAAACGAAGGACATGACTATAATGATGACTTTCTTGATTTGATTGATATTTAGTATTTTACTTTAAAAGTATCCGGTAATGAAGCATCAAAAATTTGAATTTTACATTATCGAACAGAATCAAAACTGAACTAACAACAAACAACAGCAGCTTGTAACAAAATTTCACATTAAAAAAGGGTAAACTTTGAAAAGGAATTTTCCGAAAATTAAAATCTTCAACTTAAATAAAGATCTGCTAAAGACCGAGAATGAATAAAGCCAGTATTCCATGGAAATTCTTAAAAAAATTCACAGTGCAAGAAAAAATCTAGGAAGGATGAAGAGGCGTACTTTTATAAGTAAAAACAAATGTACGATAGAATGATTGACATAAGACGAGTTCAATATGATGAAAGTGGAAAATAGTCTCATTTCTGACGTTACATCAGACTACAACATTTTTACGCTTCCAAGAAATCTGACTAAGATATGAAGAGATTTTAAATAGCTGAAAGAAATGATGAAACTTGAAAGGATCAATTTTAAGATATTTCAAGCAAATCAAGAAAGCAACACATGCAGTTAACTGGTTAGTTTAAATTATTAGCAGTTAGCTGAATGGTGAAATAAACGGAATGAATTATCTTGGTTGATATCAATAAGTATGATGTTGAGTCTAATATTAAACTCAATGGATGTTGCCCAAATCCATTTAGGTTATTATATATCATCTGCCTCCTTCTTATTCCCTGTTCATGGAAAAAAAAAGAATGAAAGATTTCAAATTTTTCAAAAGTAACAATATGATCACATTAATAAATAATAAGATCGATTTTGACTATTCATAACCAATAAAATGTATGCCAGGAATGTGCTTAATGTAGAACAATATGTGATAAAATCTTGATAAGGAACCATATCACCGATTCAATTGGGAAGAGGCAACAGAAGGTGATAGTATTGGGTGTGACAGTACGACTAAGAGACATATACACCTTCATGATGTTTGATTTGAAATGACGATAAAAGTTTGAATGCCCCTCGGTGTGTCACCCAGAGCACCGTTCATAACTTCCATGTAAAGTGACGAAATTTCGAAATGAGTATCAAAACTGATAACATGTTTGATAGTCGATATGAATGCAATCAATGACGTGTGATTTGTAAAATTTCTAAAAATTTTATAATAAGACACCCTAAATAAACACAAGAAATAATATCACAGGAAGGCATATATGATGACGTCGATATATTAGAACACTTAATTCACCTTGTATCCATCTACAACGATCGTTGTCACAGAGAAAGCAAAATTCAAGTGGATTTGAGTTTGCTGCATCAGTGACAATCGATCATGCAAAATAATACAGCTCAATGAATAGGAATGTAATTTACTAAATGGGGAGGGAAAGTGTTGAGGACATATAAAATCCGGTATTCTGAATGGGAATTGCACATGTGACAATAAGAAATTAAATAATTCATTTGTTGTGGTGTGAAAGAGTTGGAATAAATTAGCAAGATGATGTATGGTTCTATTTTAGAAAAACGAATGAACCGTTTCTGTAATTTATTTTTTTTCCAGGAAAGATCTGAACTGAAGACCTGAATTGATATGCAAAAAGAGCAGCTATGCGATATCTGGGGAGAAATGATAAAGCATTGAGATAATTTTGGAAAATATGCAAAGAAATTTGATTCATCTTTGAAATGGCACTTCAGCCGTAATATGGTGAAAAGGGAGTCCTATTGAAATGACATCTCTTCGGCGGGAAAAAAATGTCAAAATAAAAAGGAGACATGGAATGGTCAAAGAGAACGAAAATATTTCCCATTGAATATGTGCTAATAACATTTCAAAGTTCGAATATTATGCATTTGAGAATACAAGAAGTGGTTAATATGTGTTGTTATTGATGTAGCAAACGAAGGAACAGAATATATCATTATCATTAAGTTATCTGTAAGCAACAGGTGATAAATGTTTGATAAAACTTGATTTAGCCATGATCAATCATTAAATAGGAATGTGATTATGGCATATGAATGTTTCTGTTATCATGATAAATACAACTGTACTGGAGAAATATGTGTTTACGACAATAACAATTTCTAATCATTGTGCAAATTCCAACGTCAAACAAGATAAGGATCACAGCGGGTGCAATGCATTGGCATTTGGGGTATGTAAAAGTCCTTTTGAGGATCTTTAATTAGGATAAAGAATAGATCGATCAATTCGAGAAATTTAATCCGTTTAAATAGAAGGTAAGAATAAATCATATATATGCTGAAACAAACATTTTAAAAAAGAAAAAAGAACGGAGAACATTTCAAACAATTTAGGAAAAAGGTCAAATATTAAAAGGAACATCCAAATAGACTGAACAAAAGTTATTATTTTAGCGTAATAATTGAACAGATTTTTCACGAAATATTAACATGATAAATGAATTAGAACATATAAACAGTTAATCAAAAATTTAATTAAAGTATTAAAATGTAGTAGTAATTTTACAAGAATTATTGGGGAAAAAAATCAATCGATTAGAAAATTAAATCGAAGTTTAGCATAGAGTTTATTTGTAGGAGGCAATGTAATGGTGGAATAACAAACCAGTCTTATAAATATGGCCGTTTGGAGACATGTAAGAAATACGGGCTCATCCTTCAATTCGACACTGAATCAAATCAAATTGAAATTATAAGTATAGAGTTGTTGACATACTTCGCCAAGGAGACCAATGTCAGGGTGGAAAGTGGAAAGGTGCCGGAGGATTGTCGGAGGGAAGTGGGTGTCACATCTCAAAATCGTCAGATGATAAATTCTTTCCCACTTTGATTATATCTTAATAATATGTATTATAACATTTAAATTTGTGCATAGAATGCCAAAGAGATAGTAGAATCTGGTTAATGATACTGGCTAATGATGATAATGATGATACTTCATTATATTGGAAATGATATACCGATAGGAATTTTTCTCATCATCTAGTCTTTTTAATGGAATTGAAAAAAATCTGCCAAGAAAAAAAAATGCTCAAATCATTTTTTAGTTAAGTAGAAATGATGAAAAACAGTTTTTTCATTTTCACTTTAAACTCTTTTGATAGAATACAAAATGATTCTTCTTAATTTTTGTTAATTTGACATCTACAATAATGCAATTCGCACTTTTCAGTTATAATTCAATGTGTTTAATGAATCCAAATATATGCGAAAAAGCAAAAGAAATGTGAAAGCCACAGAGAAAAAAGAATAGACTGGAATAGGCAGTAATTTAGAATGAAAATTTGAATAAATTCAAAAAGATGAGGAAAAATTAATGTTGATATCAGATAATGAAAAAGGAAGATTAATTGGTAAGTGAAAAAAAGCGAATGAAAATAGTTCACATTTTTCATTTTGTTGGCCATGAAAAGTGAAACTACCAGTAGTTGGTTGCTTAAAAAACAGAAAACGAACAACTAATCAAAGAGTGAAATGTCTCTGTTCGGGTAATTAACTATTAATCGGACAATAAAATGATTTCAAGAGAAAATACTATAAATCAATTTTTGACTTTCGGAAGGAAGTTCCAATGGAAAGTATCATTTAAATGAATAAATTGGAATGGAAATAAAATAGTAAATTAAATAACCAAAATTAAAATTGACATTGTTGAAGGAAAAATACACAATTTCAATCAGTAATTTGTTGCAGAAATTTTTTCTCAATTTTCATCAGTAACCTTTGTGAATAATTAGTTTAATATGAGAGTTTTGACATTCGAAAGTATCGAGAAAATTTGAAAAAAATTTCGAGAATTTTGACTAACTGAAACTAATTTAAATTCAAATCAAAAAAAAAGTCCAACAGAAACAAATATTTGTATTGCACGTCGAAAAAAAACCGGTTTCTACAGCTAATCACGTCGTCTGGATACAAATATGACGTGAACATTCTTCTTCCTCATTTCAAATTTGACAGAAGAATTAAATAGAAATAAAGTTGAAAATTTAATTTACAACAGTCTCTTCCCTCCAAATCTTAATTTTACTTTTATTTTTTGAACTCATAAAAATTTACTTTCGTAATTTTCCAGTGTTACATTCGCTTATATTTCAACATACGAGTGAAATTTTTTCCGCACGAACCTGCAAAAAATTCGACAATATTTTTTTTGAATATTTTACAGGACACTTCTATGATAAACAGCTATGAGAGACGTACTCCACGTATTACGTATGCCAAATTTTCTCGGACATAACGAAGGAATGGATTTGAACGATAGACTTGAACAACTTCAACGTAAAGTTTAGGATACATTATCCTCTTTACCAGAGTACTACTACGTTGATCAGATAGTGGATGATGAACTAAATGTGGACAAAATTGCTAAATCCGAAGGGAGCCACTTACTTGATCAACATAATTATGCGGCCTAGAAGAAAGGCGATCATTTCGGATCTAGAACGACAATATCCCAGCAAAATGTGGACAGAAGAGGAACTTTTACACTGTAAGATTTGGCAGATTGCACTAACGATTCGGAAACTTGACAAGTCTATAGGTAAGCAAACTAAGGTAACAACATACTCGAACAGTTATCAATTCCCGAGATATAAACTATTCGTAAACTATCCATAGTTGTAATCTCCATCTATCCCTTCTCTTCTCTCCCCTGAAAGTTAGTCATTATACTCTGAAAGTAGGGAGTGGTGTCGCAGGGCGAAGAGGTAAGGAGAAGAAAAATATTAATTGATAATTTTGTCATGAAAGAAAAAAAACATCTATTTTGGGGACAGTTGGAATATCAGCTAGGATTCCTCATATTAGTAGGAATGCCGCAATAATCTAATCTGACATGAGCAACGGAAATGAGCTGAATTATTGAGATGGATCCTATACTTCGAGATTATTCTAAATTTAAGATTTAAGATTGACAGTACACTCAAACAACACAATTAAGGTGATGTGCTAAGGATGGATCATCCCGGTGTGCCTCATTGATATCAAGATGATCTTGTTTATACCCGATAATCCTTTCCAAATTAAATGTTAACATTTAACTATTTTATTTCTGATAGTGCAATCAGATGGAAGGTCTAACTGATGAGGGTATGCAGCAGCGCTTTAAAATATTGAACTGTGCGCAGAGGAAAGGTAGGAGAAAATTAATTCTTGGAATGTCGCCAACTCGTTGTTTTCAAAAAAAGAAAAAAAAACCACCAAAGTGATTTAAATTAATCTTACAGTAAATAAATTAGGAAAGATTTTGTAGTGTATGAATAATTTAACTTTTGAGGAGATTGTTTACTGAATAATGTAAAAAACTATCCTTCCTAAGTGTACCCACAAAAAAGTGTTGTCTTGCGTAGATGTCGTCAAATATTGATGCTATTATTCGTTTGTTGTAAATAAGTACCTGTGGGAAAATTGGATCCTCTTCGAATCATCCAGATACCGAAAAAAAAAACACTGAATGTACTTTGCTGAGTGCGATAAATAAGTGATAAGGTAGACTTTGCTCACTGTCTTTAATTTTCTGTTGTGTGGTGCTTCTCGTTTTTTTTTTTTTCATACTAAGTAGATCACTTCCTTAGAATGTACTTCAATCGATGAAGTAATTTCTCGAGAATCACCTTTGATTGTTGTAAAAGTGACTGTCCATTTGATCTGACTCACATGCAATAAGACTACTGTCAGTTGATAATTGCTGAAGGCCATTACATTTACGTTGACAGCATGTGACTCATCTTTGTAAGTACGCACATACAAAATATTTCATTTCTATTCCGTACTACAAAGACAAAATATCCTGTAAATTCAATACTTTTCCATGAGTTGATACATGAATAATCATGTTAAATCTTCTATGTTTTCATTTTCCACCACCAGAAGGAATCACCACTTCTCATACGTGCCTTTACACATTCATCATCTGTCCACCATGCTACATCAGAAGCGGCTAGCATACAGAAGAATACATTGGTGATAAGCGAAAAGAACGCATGTAGCAGATATATGAATCTCCAATCATAGATCGTTCCCTCACCAATCAGTCCATTAACCTGAACAACAAAGATCTAAACTAACAGATAATGCAAGCACACTGAAGATCATAGGTTATCAGGACGATAAAAGTTTAATTGGTACTAGAAATAGCTTTCAGAATTAAATTAAATAGTTGACGTAATAGTTGATCACTGCGCCAGTATTGAAAAGATCATCGATCAGAATTTAAATATAGTCCAGATAATTTCTATAAAAATATAGCATAACACTGTAACGTAATTTTCACTTCGATCCACTTTGCTTTTCAATAAACAAACCAAAATTGGTGATAGTAGCATAGCAAGGCACCAGAGAATTTGAATATGTCCAAGCACAAAGGCACTGTATTGTCTGGATACTAAGACAGCGCACTAAAAAATTAGTTAATTTCTTCCATAGAATTTAATGCAAACTAATTAACTGCTATTGACTCAGTGACGAGATTAATTAAGTAATGTCAACCACTAACTATCAATGTGACAATAAAATTATCTACTGTATAATTAAAAAGGCATGATATCTTCAACTTTTTCAAAAAATTTAAGGACGGCATCTATCATTAATGAGTTATAGTATTCAGTGATGAGATTGTTTATACCTTATTAAAACCAGCTCCATTGAAACCATACATTGAAGTTGCCAATGTTAACAAAATGATCCCCGTTAATGGATAGCCTGAATTTGAATATTCAAAGCATTCGCCAAAGATAGATTCTAACATTTATTTATTAGAAAATTTAATGATACCATAAGAAGTTCTTGAAGGAAAAGCTCTTGAAAACTGATCAATTCTCCGATTAAGTAATATAATTTAGTTTCAAATCTTTCAAAAATATCAAATGACTATTTAATATTTCGTAGTTTCTCTGAGGGATATGAAAGATTTTGGAAAAGATTTTAAAAAGATTATAGGAAGTTATTATCAAGTTGATTACCTTGAGGTAAAAATGCCAAAATAATGAGGAAAACTGCAGAAACTCCGAGTGCTATGCTATTATATAAACGTAATTTCATTGTTTCTGATAAGATACGCAACTTATCACTGGTGTAGCCAGCAAAAATCTGCAACAATTATCATTGGAGAAATGAAAATCATATTTGGAATAAGAAAAATTCATTGTGACCTTAAAAAGAAATTGGACTAGCACTGGAAGAGCAGCGGAGAAACCGGTGTGTTCTACCGAATATCCGAGGATTTCTCTGATATACTGTGGACTGAATGTATGTATTACCTGGAAAAAAAGTAGGTAATTATTGTATGAAAAATTAGCAGTGCTGCTTTGAATAACGATCTTTGAAGTATCTTAAGGGATAAGAATATATCGATCGATTTGATCTAATTCATTATGGAATGCTAACTGGCGAATTAGTATTTCTTGCATTTTGCTTAAAATTATTCGCCACATATCCTGCATTGTGAATCATTCGATATTTTCATATAGCTATCCATTCACTTTTAACTTTCAAATTTACTTGCCTGAAATTTCAGCAGTGCAATGGATCCTAACAATGTTCTAAGCAAACCTGTAATGTCATCAGATCACCGATAGCTGCTGCCCATACACCCCAGATAGCAGGTGTAGTTAAAATTGCTAAATACGGTATTTTCTGATGCTTTTTAGCTACCGATAGCGAAGTGACCGTTGATCGACCACGGTTTATTTCTTCTAGCTCGACCTGATCTACTAACGGATGTTCGACTGCAAAATTTTCTAATAAACTTTTGCAGCAAAATTCACTTTATATAATCCCAACAGTTGCTGAAAAACATATATTATCGAGAGATATTCATCACGATCATGTGGCTGATAACTGGGAAGGTGTTAACAATGAGAAATATCTATCTGAAATCAGGTCGTCTGAAAAAGATAAGCCGCTTATGACGATTATGTTAGGTCTAGATGACAGCAGAAGGATCATAATTCGAAACATGAAGAGCGAACGATCACGACAATCTGATTGTATCCTTCCAAATGGGAATTTCTCCAGAATGCATGGGAAATACACAATTCGTGAAATAAGGATTTTATGAAATAGGAATGATAAAACAACTGTGAACAGATTTTCAACATTTTCCGGAATGGTCTGCGTTTAAAAGTTGTGGAAATGAAAACCTGGTTGATTTCTATACAACAATACCCACGCTGTAAATGCTATAAATGATATTCCGGCATGTAAATAATAGACAGCTGGCCATCCGAAATTTGACGCACATAGCTACAAATAAGTTACACAGTTATCAAGAAAGCATGATGTTAACAATCTTAAACATCATTTTCTCCTCAATTTACCAATACTTAAAACCAGGTTTTATAATTAAAAACGTAATAATAATAACAAATCCGTGTTAGTAAATATTTCGGTCTTTAATTAAGCTATGAATTCTTGTTAAACTTCCCCGTACCTTACCAGAAGTGGCCATTGTGAAGACAGCAGCCAGTTGGCTAAAAGATGACAGGGTTGAAATGAATAGCCCACTCTGTTGAAGAGAGGCCCAGTTGGACGTTACAGCACCAGTGGTTGGCATACATATCGTAAAACTTATGCCCTAAAATAAGCAAAATAAACAAAGAGCAAAAATAATCAATCCATACCACTAATTCTCTAGTATGATTTTTGTTCATTGAATTTTGACAACTGTAACAAACCTGACAAATTCTTAGGATGACGTAATATACGATACTATTCTGAGCCACGGCAAGGGGTACCAACATCGTTGCTATAGCTGTTAGCATTCCACTGACAAAAAATATGATTCGAAGCCCGAAATACTAAAAAAAAATACGTCTTAAACTATTGGAATAAACCCGATCGATTGGCATAGCGTTGTCCATACTGGATATCGTGGATACTGTACTTTGAATTACAATACTAATTATGAAATGGTTTCCGGATTGAATCATGAAACAGTCTACTTCAATTGGAAATTATTCGAAATATCTCATAATAGGAGAATATTCACTGGTAGTTTGAATGATAGAAAACGACTTAAAAGCACCGCTCATTTCTGAAAATTAAGATCACATTAGGTGTGAAACACAAATATATTACCTGTAAAGCTTGTGTCACGAATATTACAGTTAAAAGGGCACCGACTGCTGCAGAACTGAATATAATGGTCTTGTCATCTTTGGAATATCCCTCATGACTTGCATTGTGCGCTGTCTGCAAAACGATCGTAGCAGGTTAAACGATTCATTTAATGATGATTCAAAGTCATTTGCATTGATTATAAAAATTTAAATGTTTTGGATTAGGATAATTTCATACAAACACTGGTAAACAAAAACAAAATTGCGACTTTTCTTAGAATTATTGAATTTCTACGCGGTTAAATGTTTCTAATATATGCTTGAATAATTAGACAAAAGTGTGGAAGTGAAGTAAAGTTACTAAATTTGCAGCCAGCTACTCTTTATTAATTAAAACAGATGATATCTTGTCGGTAGAGAAAAACAGTGCTCTCCATAATAATTCTACCAGTTTTTTCTTTTTTTTTTTGTGTTTTTTTTTGTGTTTATTTCAAATATTTAATTTCAGAAAATTGTGCCTTAGCAATCCGAAAAAGATTGACATTTCCATATACATATATGACAGTTATCTTGCAGATTCATGAAAATGTGCAAATATATGCTGCCAAATTTACTAATACATTTTTCTTCTGTTCCTCAAAAGCCAAATGGCATATTCTCTTCTCGTAATTAATAAATTTGAATTTAAAGTTTGCTCAATTTGAATAGCTTACAGTACGATACAATAATTCATCGGTAAGAATAAGGAAAAATTTTTAATTACGATAAGATAAATTAGTGATGCTTAAAGTAGATTCAGATTCATTAAGAGGTAATAATTCTGAGAAACCAAGTAGTGCTTTTCATTTCTCGAATGTTATCAGCAGTAGAATAGCGCCAATGTTTTTAGACAATTAAAAATTGAATGAATACTAAAAAGACAAGCAAATATTAATCAATATTTTGAAATTAACTTTTTTCTTCAAAAAATGCACGCGATGAGAATTTTCCGCATCAATTATTATTTAGCAAGACAAGATTTCTTTAAGTGATAATGCAATCACTATTTGCTATCACCATGTGTTTCTCATTTTTTTATAACTTTTAAGAAAATAGGATATGTACTTCTGATAAATTGAAATTAAAAGAGAGAAAGCTTTGACAATCTGCAGTTGATTCATTTGGCACAATAATTAATTAAATTAAATTGAAATTAAAAGAGAGAAAGCTTTGACAATCTGCAATTGATTCATTTGGCACAATAATTAATTAAATCAATGAATTTAAAAGATTGTACAGAACTTTGATTTATGATGCATTTATGTGAGATGCATAACAATTTCACATTGTTATCACCACTTGTTTTTCATTCCTTACTTATTTAAAATGTGTCTATTCGTTTGTTTATTCCTTTCGTATAATGCTTTTTATCTGAAATGTATTGGAATTGAATTAAAGTGAATAAATTTCAATTAAGTCAACCAACGGGATCACTCATTAGGAACGTTTAAGTTTTCGATAAAATGTGTTCCCCGGATATCGGCGTAGATCCATTCAGGAAATGTTGCATATAAGTCTCTTAGAAGCATCTTATGGCGGAAATTGTTGGATCATTCTGTTTAATTCAGTAAACAGATAGCACATTTGTGTTTTAAATTCCCTTCTTATTTATTGACATCATTATCTGTGATGCAACAAATGAGATGCTGAAATGGGACTATCCACAGTGAATTAAAATAATTTAAAAAAAATAAGCGTTGAAATTCTTTTCCAAACAAGGTAAAAGGCTGGCCTCATTTGTTTGTGATAATTCCTTACTGTATTTGGGCGATATACAAAGAACAGTAAAATTGAATGTAACAATGTTGGACATAATCGATGCAAGGCATATAAGTGTAGATATCAGTATAATATAACGCATCCCATATTTCCAACGTGAACCACTTGACGTTCTACCAACTAACTCACGTGTATTTTTGCTAACTGTTTCCAACATCATCGTATTTTGCTCTTTTGAACTCACCATAATTTGATGCTGCTGTAAAATGTCGTAATGCCATCGCAAAGAAATGATACCGTATTTTGTGACATGAACGAAACACGCGGAGGAAATCTTCGATAATTATAAATAGAACTGAGAAAAAAGAATTGTTGTACTAAGTTATTGGAGTCTTTTTGGATACGTTGGACTATCAAAAAAAGTGTAATGCTTTAAAATAGGCTATCGATTGATAGTAAGTTTTTAGATCTGAAATCCAATTGATAGATCAATTTATTAAATATTCTTATAATTATATGGTACTACAGTGACACACTTTTTTATCAGCAATATTATCTCACTACCTTAAACGCTATTTCACTGTCCTACACGTTATTCTGCTTGAGATTGGCATTATAATTTATCCAAGGCCAAGTTAAACTTCGGATGGTTTAATTTGAACTGGTTAACTTAAGATAGCTCCATTTTAATTTGTTTTATCTCTTCCACATTAACCAATGGTTTCAAATAAACTACCAAAAAAATGTTTTATTATTAAGAAGACTAAAAGCTTAACAACTTCCATTTAAAAAACCATTCTGGTTGAGTTATAATGTCAGAAACCACAACATATCATTGGAATATATTCATAAAGTGTAAAAATTTGAAATTTCTTTTTTTTTTTACAAATTAAATAATCTCTTCAAATTGATTAGTACAAGTAAACAAATTACGATGAAATCAGGTTTAATGATAAAGAAAATAACTGCGTGTTATCAGTGCATCAATAATCAATCGAAAGTGATTTAAAGTAGGAGGGGACACGATGATTGATTGATTGATTAATAATGATGGATTTTACCATTATCGGGACATACTTTAGTTATATTGCAGAGGAGTTGTCTTAAGACAAAAATAAGAACAGGAATAACTTAGCAAAGTACTTTCATTAATATGAAAGATCATCGAACCCTCCTTAAACATCAAATTTTTTTCTTGCAGTATCAAAAATTAAAAAAAATGAAGCCATTTCTTATTTAACAAAATTCAAATTTAATCGCATCAAATTAAGACAGTAATAACTAAACTGAGAGAAAGTGTAAGAAACTTTCCTGTTTTTCGGGTATGGAATTCTTTGTGAAATAAATCATTTTGTTGAAAATATGCAAAAAGCCGTAAAAAAAGAAAAAGAGCATTTCGAAATATTAGGAAATAAACAACGAAGAAAAGTAGCACCATCAATAGATGTCGTTGTTTTTTGCAAGATTTTTGGGAAAATGAGTAAACGAAGAAAAAATAATGAAGGAATGATTGAGAATTGGATGATGAGAAAGTGATTGTGGTTACGGTAGTACAAAATTTGCAGGTATGAATGATTAGAGAATAGAAATGATGTCAAATATGACAATATACATAGTGTGAAATATTTTTGTTTGACAGTAAATCGCATTCAAACATTATCTTACTGGATAATAACATAACTTAAGAGCTTCTAATAACCATTCAATTTAGTATACAGACATGATCCAGGAAAAGCCGCCTAATTAGGGTATATACCTGAATCATAAGTGTAACCCATAGGTAGATGAAATGTCGTCATCGCTAGCATTATTTTCATGGGAATTCCATCTTTGCAACATACATATCGAGAAATATGAAAATAAATTAAAGGATTTATCAAAAACTTCAGCTTTCAAAAGGAAATTTTTCTTCATTTTTAAATTATAAATTACATAGAAAGCATGAAATTATTGTGATTGGAAGGATTCTGAAGCAATGATAAAATTTCATAATTTCACTGAAATTTTCATTCCTTTTTCTTTTATTTTTCAAATAGTTTGCCATCTTTTCCTTTTAATTGCCACACTTTTTTCCCATAAGAAATCTTCCAATCTTAAATTTAAAACGCATATGCTACATTAAACAAACATCAATGATTTATTTACTCGACAAAACATCATTTCTTAACAATTCGCAACAAATTTCTTCTTAATTTTTTGGATTGATCACCAATTTGGAGTATTTCATTTTAAGTCATTTGCATTTTGTATCAGATATGTGCATCTTTTCTCATACCTATGAAAAATATTTATCAGAGCAATAAGCATATTTACTTGTTAGTCTTAAGTTTTGAAACAGAAAATTTATGATTTAATAACTTTGTAGAAATTTTCTATTACTCAACACAACGGGATATATCTTCTATTCAATCCAAAAGTAAATTATCATGTAATTAAAAAAAAAGCTTCACTTAACAGAATAAATTCTGATAGTTTCATACTTTCGTTCGGGTGGCGGATAAAGCCTGGAAATGAAATTGCGAATATCTAGTAATGTTTGATTCAAAGTATTGCGGAATCTTACTTTACATTACTTAGTTCCGTTAATTGAAAAAAGTGCCAAAGCATACATAGAATTATTCATTAGGAAACAAATTCGAAATCGTCAACAATTCAATTACCAATTATATTAGGATGAAAGACTGAGAAACTGAATGATAGGTATTTTTAAGTGGAACGGGAATGAAGCAGGAAGCAGAATATAGTTTTAATTATCCGGAAGTTGAAAAGCAGTATTAAAATTGTTTTGCTGATGTCCAATCAAAATGAATCCCTTGGCCAGTTTTAATGCATCATTTGCCCATTTTTATTCCCTTGACTGCTTATTTTTTTCAATTCTGCACTAAATAGTGCAAGAAGTGAGCAATCCTACGATTAGGGTTAGAAAAGCAATCATATTAGGACAG